GGGGGGGGGGGCACAAGAAGGAAAGGAGGAAGTTCTTAGAAAAGTAATAAGTACACACATTAACCTACTGGGGTGAAAATAGCTCTGATTTAAGTGTTAAGAATGAGCTTCCCAGCAGCATGGAGAAAGGGAAAAAGGTCTGACCACAGCTCACGTCTTCTTGTCTAGGCCTTTTTAGTGGACGTCTGCTTTCCCAGGGTGGTCTAGGCAGAAGGGCCTGCGGGGTCGCTCTCTGGAAATGTCTTCACTTGCAACATTGCTTGGGGGCTGGTTCAGGAGTGGCCACGTGAAGACTTAGGCATGGGAACTGCCACTAGTTGAGAAAGTCACTGCCCTCCCTGGGCCTGGGTCTTTGCACCGGAGCAGTGGGCATTTGACTAGATGTCCCTCCACTTTGAGCCCTGGGTCCTACTCTTGGACCAAAGCTTCAAGCACAAGAAGGGACTGGAACTCCCATTTGCTGCCACCCTGCTATAGCCAATCCCAAGCTTAGCCATGTACCTGGGATCCATTAAAGCTGCTGAAGTGGGAGGATCGGTGCCCCCATTTCACAGGTGACTAAACTGAGGCACAGGGAGGTGACATGACTTGCTTAGTATGGGGTCCAATTTGAACATATGTCCTTTGACTCTGAAACTGTCTGTCCCCTGTGAGGCTGAATGGACTGGGCTGGGAGGTCCCTCAAGGGGAGACTCAAAAGGAACCATGTTTCCCAAAAGGAACCATGTCCCCTTGAGGGATCCCTTCCCCCTTTTCTATTCCAGGATGCCGGTACCTGTGTACACCTGGGCTGCTGGGTGGTGGCCCCAAGGACATGTGGCCAGATGGGGACAAAAGCAGGCCTAGTCTCAGGGTGGTCTAGGCACTGTCTGTGAGCACCAGTCTAGTGCAGAGGCCTTGTTTATCAATCTGAGAGCAGCCTGAGGTCTCTAAACCCAGATTTTGAGGCTTGAGAGGGAGTGGAACAGCCAGGAAATAGAAGTGGGGCGGGCGATGGGCTCCAACCGAGGCTCAGAGTGATTGGCCAGCAGTGGAGAGGGTGGATCAGGGGGGTTCCCAAGGCCACTGTAAAGACTGTAACATCCCACTGCTCCCCAGACTCCTGTGCCCACCTTTCCTACCCCAGGGTTAGTCATTTTCCATTAACCTTTGCTGTTAGCCAGCCTGGTGCATTTGCTTCTAACAGGTTCTGGCTGCTAAGGAAGGAGTGAGCCCATGAGGGCAGGGAATCACGCTGGAGCCGCAGGACACAGAGCGGTGCCTGGCGCATAGTAGGCTTCCAGTAAGACAAGGGAAATGTCGAAGGAAGAAAGGAAGGAAGGGAAGACGGACTAAAGTGTTAGCAGAAACGGGGCACCCTTCCAGTGGGACTTGCACCTCCTGTGGGGGAGGCCGAGGAAGGGACTTTCAAGCTCAGAAAACGATGGAGGAGTGAAGGCAGTAGGAGGGGCTGTCTTTTCCTTTATTTGTTCCACAAACACTTGTTGAGCTATTTTTTCTGGTTTTATTGAGATATAGTTGACATATAAGATGGCATTTATTTAAGGAGTACAACATAATCATTTGATAGAGTCTGTATTACGAAATGATCGCCACAATGAGTTTAGTTAAATTAACATCCATCACCTCACACAGTTACATTTTTGTCTCTTGATGAGAACTTTTTTTTTAAGTATTTTATTGATTTCAGAGAGACAGGGCGAGGGAGAGAGAGAAACATCAATGATGAGAGAGTCATTGATCGGCTGCCTCCTGCACACCCCCAACAAGGGACGGAGCCCACAACCCGGGCATGTGCCCTGACCGGGAATCGAACCTCATCTCCTGCATCCTAGGTCGACGCTCAACCGCTGAGCCACGCCGGCCGGGCCTTGATGAGAAATTAAGATCTACTCTCTTAGCAACTTTCAAATATGTGGTACAGTGTTATTAAGTGTAGTCACCATGCTGCACATCACATCTCCAGAACTTATTTATCTTATAACCGGAATTTGTACCTTTTGACCCCTTAGCCCATTTCCCCTGCCCTACACTCTGCCTCTGGCAACCGCACTCTTCTCTGTTGAGCTGCTGAGCCCCTGCTCTGTACCAGGCATGGTTCCAAGTGTGCAGGATGCAGCAATAAAAAAGCAAAGTCCTTGCCCTCCTGGGGCTCATTCCGGAGGGTACGTGACACCTCCAGGTGCTAAGTGGACTGAAGAAATCCACGTAGGGGGTGGGAATGCACAGTGGCCGTGGGTTGTCAGGACAGTCTCTCAAAAGACATGACATCTGAGCTGAGACCCTGAGGATGAGCAGGAAGCAGTCATGCAAATAACTGAGAGCCCTGGGCCGGCGAACCTCTGGTACAAAGTCCCTGAGGCAGGACCCTGCTAGTGTGTGTGAGGAACTGAAAGACCGGTCTGTGACTGAAGAGCAGTGAGCGGGAAGGAGGTGGTGAGGGCGAGGCTGGGAGGCAGGCGGGAGGCAGGACCTGTGAAGGGTCTGGATGGCGTTGTGAGTATGAGGCGTGCTCACTGAGGGGTTTCACCAGTGATGTTTTAAAAAGATAACAAAGGGGCAGGAACAGAAGCAGCAAGGAGCTGTTGCAGTCGACTGGGTAAGAAATAGAGGTGGCTTAAACTAAGAAAATATGTCAAAATATTAATGTTCTTTATATGAGAGCTCTTATAAATCAAACAGCATAATAAAAAAATGGGCCAAAAAAAAGGAGGAACATTGCCAAAGAAGCAATTCAGGCATGTGCCCAGTCTCACCAATAACAAAAGATGTACAATTTAAAGCAAGCCAGTTTCCATAGCCAGATCAGCAAAACTCTATCTTAAAAAGTATCTCCAAGATTGTTGAGGGTGTGGGAAGATGGGCACTTTTCCATGTGGGTGGTGGACAGGTAAAGTGACACAATCATTTCGAAGGGTATTTGGGAACCATATAAAAATCTCATGCCCTCGGGCCCAGAATTCTGCTTCTGGGAAACTGAGATGTAATCCGAGAGGCCCGTGAGTTCACCCACGATGGGCTCCTGGAGCGCGCAGCGTGCCCAGGCCTGGCCTCCGAGACTCAGCAGGGCGAAAGCAGACCCAGCCAGTGCTCGTGCAGCTGGTATGCTGGGCCGGACAGGGGCACAGGCCAGGTAAGTAAGGGAGATGGAGAGCTTGCCAGGTGGAGACAGTGCCGGGAGGACAGTGGACAAGCGGGGAGGGGCAGTGCTATGCAGAGTCAGCCCAGACTACCTGCTCGGTGACGGCACAAAACGTCATACAGCCCTAGAGGTGCTAGTTTGGGAGAGTGTTTAATGACATAAGCGTGCTCATGAGGCAGTGTTAAGTGGCAAAAAAGCAGAATGCAAATGTTTGTATACAGAGTCAACTCTAGACAAGTAATCAATAAATATTAATTTTGTGGCGGGAAAACTGACATTCACACACTGGGTTTGTGCCTGGAAAAAAGACTAGAAAGAAATGTCCTGATAAGCGAACAATTGCGGATATCAGGAGGTGGCCGTGAGGGGGTGGGCTCTCACTCTCAAGGTTGCACAGGCCAAATCCTGCCTTTATTTCAGGTTTGGATGGATATCTTTTTTGCATTCATTTAAAAATAGGCTTTATTTTTTAGAGCAGTTTTAGATTTACAGAAAATCAAGAAGATAGTACAGAGGGCTACCCATCTGCCCTGCACCCGGTTCCCCTGTTGGGAACATCTTGCACTGTTAGCATGGTGCATTCATTACATTAAACATCAATACTGATACATTATTATTAATAAGGTCATACTTAGTAAGATCATACTCAGAGTTTGTGCATTAATTCTTATTTTTATAACATATTGTCTTAAAATACTATTTATCTTGACTCCTGAGGTTTTTGTAGCTCCCTTAAATTTTGTTCCTGAGGTGCCTTACCCACCCCGCACTAGTCCAGGGCCTGCTTCCTGTAACAATAAAAATGTGACTATGTCCCCTCTTCCTCTCCTGGTCAGGGCCACAGTGTGTGGGCCTGGTGGCCAGCCCTTTCTGAGCAGTGCTGAGCTGGAGTCTGATCTCCACGACCTGACCCTTTCACTCATTCAGTGAGCTTTCCTGAATGCTGGCTGTGGACCAGGCCCTGCCACAGCAGTGCCCACCAGACACCCCCCCCCTCCCCCCCAGCCTCTGGGAGCCCACAGTGAACAAATCTGAGCCCTAGTCTTGGAGAAAAGCTCTGTGGCATATTGACTCGCTCTGGACAAATGGTCTCAAACATCATTTCCCTGGAACAAGAGCCCTTTCCCTGATGGGCCAGGCATTCCCGGGGCACAGTACCTTGCTGCTCCTGGCTGGAGGAGGGAAGTGGGTGGTAGCTTCACTACCATCTCTCCAAAGATAACCTGGTCCCCAAGACCCAAACTCGACAAGCCTATGGCTATCTTGGCATCTCCACGGGGAAGGCCAATGGCACCTCAGACCTCATACAGGCAACCCTGAGCTCCGCCTACCTGCTGCCCCACAGCCATTCCCTGTCAGCATCTCATATCTACCCACCTCAGGGCCTTTGCACTGCTGGTTGTTTCCTCTGCCTTGCACACTGTCCTCCACATCTTTTCATGTCTGGCTCCTATAATTTGGATCTCAGCTCATGTGTTGCCTCCTCAGAGAGGTGTGTCTGACCCCTGTTGTAAATCTCCCTGCCCCCAACCAGACATCCTTCATCTATGGTACCCTGTTATATTTTCCAGACCACCGGCCACTACATTGTTGCCTTGTTGACTTGTTTCTTTCCTTTTTTTAAAAGTTTTTTCCTTTTTATTGAATTTATTGGGGTGACACTGGTTAACAAAATTATACAGGTTTCAGGTGCACAATTTCACATCATCTGTACGCTGTATTGTGTGTTCACCGCCCCAAGTCAAGCCTCCATCCGTCACCATTTATCCCTCCTGCACCCTCCTCCGCCCCCACCCCCAACCCCGGTGTCCTCCTGTTTGTATTATCACCTTTGTCTACCAGAATGTAAGCTCCTTGTTCCCTGCTGTACTGCTAGAGCTTAGCATGGTGCCTGGCACACAGTAGGTGCTCAGTAAATAGCAGATGAGCAGATAGCAGTCTTTCTGTCAGTAAAGGGAGAGCATGAGGGGAGAGAGATGGTGAGAACCCAGCCCGGGTAAATAGCAGGTGAGCAGTGCAGAGCAGGTGCTCAGGGCGCAGTGGAGTAGGACAGCGTCCTGGGTGGAGGGCACTGGGGGGCAGAGGCTCAGGGGAAGGCCAGGGTGGGGCAGCTCGCTCTCTCGTGGGAAGTCCCAAGTCTCAGAGGCCTGGGCTTTTGAGCCACTTTCACAGTAAGAATTCAGCTCATATAAACAATGAGAACATTTCTGGGCCCTCAGAAGGAGGCAGTAGGAAGGCGTGAAACAAGGCAGCAATTAGATTCCATCGATTCCATCCCACGGCACTGGACCTGAGCTCGTAGGCGCACTGCTCTCAGTGCGGCTGCAGACATGCCCGCGGCACCGGCGAGGAAACAGGCCACGGCCATGGAGAGCCAGGGCCAGACAGAGGGAGGGAGCCCCAGGCTCAGGGCTTCTTCTTCGAATCTGTGGCTTTCATTTTCTAATAAATTGGGAGAATTGTTTTGTTTCGTTTTGTTTTCAGCAAAAGTTTTCCTGAGTCAGCCACCTGCTTCCGTCTGTCCCTGGGGCTGCTGACCTTGTCCTGGCGACAGGGCAGGAAGGAAGGGACTCAACAGAGCTGGGCCGGCAGACAAGGGGGTGCCTGCTTGTGTGGGCCGGGCTCGGGCCTGCGCCCGCGGAAGCCAGTCCCAGCTGTCTGAGCGACGCCTTCGCGCACGCCTGCCCCAGCCTTTGCTCTCGCGGCGCCCCTACTTGGGATGCTGTCCTCTGTCCAATATTTTCTCTCAGCAAATATCTCGCTAAGATTGAGCCAATGTTGGGACCCACTGCAGGGCTAACAGGAGAGATGCCCTCCCAGGCTTGGGTCCCGCGATAAAGTGGGAGGCAGCGTGAGAGTGAAACCTGGCGGCTCAGGGTCTCCCTTAGACCGGCCCGGCGCCCACCCGCCGTAAGGGCCCTGCCTCGCCCGCTGTTGGCCCGGCTCGCTTCCCCTCTCTGGGTCCGTTTCCTCATCTGTGAAACAGCCTTGGGTGGTGACGGCCTCAGGCGGCTGCATGAAAATCAGGCTGATGCGTGGAAATCTTGCCCAGAGAAGGGAGGAGGGAGCCCCAAGCTTCATGCTGCACCCATTCTGCAGGCCTGGCCCGCTTGTCCCACAGCCACTCCCACCCCAGCTCTGGCTGTTTCGGTTCCTCTCAGCCCACCTGTGGGGCTACAGAGGCCTCATGCCAGGGATGGGGAGCCCCGTGACCTGAGCAGGCCAGGCCTCAGCCTCAGCCCAGCCCAGAGGTCTTCCTTATCTGCTCCCAGTGCCTGATTGCCACCACCTCCTGCTGAATCGTCCCCCCTGAATTCAGACTGTAAGGGCTGTTTAAATGCAAATGACTCGAGGTGACCACCACTGGGCGCTGAGCTCAGGCTGAGGCTCCCTGACCTCCTTGGGACTTCTGACCGGCACCCCATGGCTTAGTGCCCAGGGCACGAATGCTGTGGGACCCCCATGCCTGGGGGCACAACCCAGGGACAGAAGCACCCCAGATTTGCCCCCAAAGACCCCACAGTCTCTTGGGGATCTGGTGGCAGAGCCTGAGAGTCCAGCTCCAGTCCCACCAGGGGAGCTGTGACCCTCCTGGGGACAGGCTATCCTGGGACTAGGGAGCGAGCAGGACTATGGAATTGGACAGGGTCTTTGTGACCTTGGGCAGCCCCCCCCCCACTGTGAAATGGGCCCCAGGGATAACAGGTGAAGTCTTCAGGGTACTTAAGCACTGGGCCCTCAGCAGGTGATAGCCGTCTCTCCTGGGTGACTGAGTGGCCGTGTCTCTCCTGTCTGCAGATCCTGAACATGGAAGACGACCAGAACTGGTACAAGGCTGAGCTCAGGGGCGCCGAGGGCTTTATTCCTAAGAACTACATCCGAGTCAAGCCCCACCCGTGAGTGGCCATCACCCCAGCCCTGCGACTTCAAGGCACCCCCTCCCTCACCCCTGTAGCTGAATGTGCCCACCCAGGTGGCTGCGCTGCCTGGTGTGTCCCTCAGCACGAAGCCTCCTCATTCCCAGCCTCTGTCCATCTGTCTGGGGCCCCCAGGCTCTGCTCCAACAGGGACAGGGGATGGGAATGTGAGGACCTGCCCAGAGTGGTGACCATGTCAGAGCTAGCCCAGGCCACAGACTGAGGACATGGGACACCAGGCAGTGTCCAGGAAAGCCCTGGACAGGAGGGCCCTTGGCTCTCGGCTGGCTGGGCCACTGGCTGCTGTGTGGCTTTGGGCAGGTCTCTGCTCTCTCTGTACCTCAGCTCTCCTATCCATAGCACAAGGAGGGCTGAGGCTCCAATCCATGCATGATTCTAGAGCTTTCTCTAAGAGGCCATCTCAGCCCTGTGTGAGGGTGGGGAGTCAGGGTGGCAGTGGAAGGGTGGAGGGGTGTGCAGGGAGCAGACACTGTGGGCTCTGCCTTTGGGGTGCATGGGAGAGCTGGACATTGGCCAAGCAGAACCTGAGATCAGGGCCAAATGGGACTTACGTGTGGGGCCTAGGGAAGCTCCGAGTCAGGCTTTCAGCAGGTGCCATCCAAAGCCGCTGCCCTGAGAATGGCGGGGGCAGGGCTCAGCCCCAGAATAGGCCTTAGTGGCCAAGAATCTATGGAAAACCAACTATCTATGCATGAAATGATGGCCAAGCTAGCTCCAAAATATAGCTTTTTATTCAGTCATTCACCAAACACTAGCCATAGCCCAGGGGCCTCGCCTGGATGGTGCAGGAGACACATGACGAGATGCTGGGGTCAGAGCAGCCCAGTCCTGTGGGAGAGACAAAACAGAAAGTGCAACACGAGAAGGCAGTCAGCACTGAGGCAACCAACCAAGGAAGGTTTCTCAGAAGAGGTAGCAATGAGTGAGGTTTTGAAGGATGTGTAGGAGTTAGCTAAGTAGAAAAAGAGAAAGACATTCCTGGAGGAGGGGACAGGGAAAGCAATGAGGGAGAACCCATGGCAGTGGGACTGGCAGGAGAGCCTCAAATGCCAGGCCCAGGGTGGAGGGGAGCCCTGGAGGCCTTTGAGCGGGGGGTGGGGGGTGGGGACTGGGTCAGATATGGAGGCAAGTGACAAGGCCAGGCAGGCTGGAGGGGGCAGACGGGGAGTCATGACGTCTGTGTGGCTATGGGATGAAAGGGGAGGGAGCTGCCGGGCTACAGTGGGGCCTGAGAGTATTTTCTCTTTGTCTTCTATGAGTTATTTCCAAAACTGCCACAACCTCTAACTTCATGTGCTGGGGAAGGCCCCATTCCACCCAAGTCCCCAGGCACTCCACCTAAGCTCCAGGCCCCCCAGCCTCCCTCATAGAGGCTGCAGCCTCCAGCTGACAGCTTGGGCTGCAGCCCTTGGTTCCAGGGCTGTGTGAGATTGGGCAGGTGTCTGCCCCTCTGGCCTTAAATTTTTTCTGTCAGTAAAGGGCATGAGGGGAGAGAGGTGGTGAGAACGCAGCCCAGGGCCACAAGCCAAGCTCCCCAGGCATCTACAGGCCAGCAGAGGACAGGCGGGAGCCATCACTGTGGGTTGCCAGTCAGGGAGAGGTCTCCAGGTGCCAGCAATACCCTGGCAAAGACCGGGCCTGCAGGGCCCACGGCTGCTGAGAGGCCCTGAGCAGAGGGGAGAAAGCTGGGCCAGGCCTATTGGGCAATGCTGGTGTTGAGGCAGGATTACACCAGGCCAGCTGGGGGCCATGGTGGTCCAGTCCTCAATGCCCCTGGGGCCAGCTCTGGCCACTTGGGTCTGGGACAGAGTGGGAATGGGGGTCAGGCCCCCAACCTACCCACCTGAGTCCATGCCCAGTTTTGTCCTTGGCTAACCTCAGTACTTGCCCTGGTCCCAAAATAGCAGTGGGGAAACTCCAGCTTAGTGCCTGACTCAGCCCATCAAGCCCCAGGGTGTGGAGTGGGGAGTCAGGGGTGGGGGAGGGCTGGGTTCCCCAAAAGCCTTGTTCCTACACCAGGCCCACTCTTTCCCTGAGAACCCACTATCACCCCCGCCTGCCCAGGGAGCCCCGGGGGGGAGGCATGATGCAGACCAGGTACCCAGAGCAGGGGCCATAAAGGCACCTGACCCAGCTGCATGGCTAATGGGGGTCAAGAGAACTGCCCAGAGGAAGGGCATGGTGTTCTGGGCCTGGAAGTTAGAGCAGACGTTTGCCAGGGAGGGCAGCAGGCGGGCCTGACCGAGAGATGTACAGGGGAGGGCTGGGAGCCAGCTCCTAGCGCAGCCGCAGGCAACAGGGCATGTGGCAGCACCCTCATTCTGAGGGCCAGGGCGCTGGGACAGGGACAGAGGCACAGAGAGGTCGAGTAGCTTGTTTAGGGTCGCATGGCTGGCAGGAAGCAGAGTGGGATTTGCAGTGGGGTGCTGTGGGCCCCAGGCTACGCTCACCAGGAAGGGAGGTGGGGGAGCCCTTGAGAGCAGCTGGGGTTGGGGGAGAGTCCAAGGTCAGGGACTTGCCGTGCAACCTTTCAGAGAATCCCTGACCTCTGGGCCTTAGTTTCCACATCAGTAAAATGGGGGACTAGGCTAGGTGGCCTGGAGTGGAGTAGCTGGCAGTGGAGAGAGCTGGGCCCTGGGGCAGCGGGAAATGCTGGCTTCCCCACACCCAGGGAGGTGCCATCAGACGACCAGCCCGTCTCCCCTGGAGGGGGCAGGGCCAGCCTCCCTGGAGGGTGCGGTTGCAACACCTTTGAGGGTGACAGCCACCCACACACTGATGCCTCCTGTGGGGTTTTGTGGGTTATTTGGAGACACCCAGGCCCTCAGGAAACGCCCACTTGGAGCCTGCTGGGGCCCTGCTCCCGCAGCAGGGCCTGCACCTGTGTCCTGCCGGGGCTTCTGGGGCTTCCGGGCAGAGGAGCTCCTGCCCTGCCCCCAGAGCCAGGGCCTCCATGGCAGCTCAGCCTCTGGCCGAGGAGCCTCCCAAACCCCAGAGACCCAGGCTGAGCTCTCCAGGTGGTTTCCTGGGCCTTCCAGCTCAGCTTCCCACTTGCCGCCTCCCCTCCTGGGGACGCCCGCCGCGAGAGGGCCCAGGCTCCACCAGTCTGGGGGCAGCCTTTGGTTGGAACCTCACTCCTGAGGGTGTGAGCTCCCACCGAAGCAGTGCCTGAAGTTAAGTGAGGACAGGGCTTTATTTTGGTTGGGAAGTGGGCAGGGAAGGAGCCACTAGGGCGTTAGTGCCACACCGCTGCCCACTCATCAGGCTGGGGATGGCCCAGCACCCGGGGTATTTAGGGCAGGGGTAGGGTTGGCTGTGTACCCACCTGCTCCCTCAGTCATCACTTGAGAGTGTTCCAGGGGCTCAGCACACAGGCCAAGTATGCTAGTCACCAGAAAATCCCTGGGGCAGAAGCCCCAGTGTTTGCATTCGACAGGGCTCATGGGACACGAGTGGGGAATGGGGAGATGGACAGGACACCGCCAGCATCTGCGGCTGCACCTGCCGTCCTCTGCTCTCAGCTCGAGGGCTCATCAACATCCTGAGACAGCAGAAAAAGTCCTGCCTCACATCTGCCCCAGGCCAAGCTCAGAGTCATAAGCATCCCCTGAAAGAGGGAACGGAAGCTTTAAAGGAAATGGAGGGTACAGGCACTGCCCTTGGTCACCACGGTCTCACCGGGAGACTTTGGCTGCTCTGGGCCTTAGTTCCCACCCCCTCCCCAGGCAATAAAGGGGCTAGGCTAAAACCCTGGGGCTGGGAAGCCAGTCAGTGACCACCTGGACCCTTCGAGGGTGGGAGGCCAAGTAGGCAGGGGTTGGGGCACAGGCAGGAACTGCCCAGAGCCATGCGGCAGACAGGCAAGGCTGAAAGAGAAGCTGGATCCCAGCCTTTTACTCCCAGACCCTGGGGACGGTGGGAACCTTGCAAGACTCTAAGCATTTATCAGGCACTTTCTGTATGCCCAGTTCTGTTTGGTTAGCAGGACAAGGGACTTGTACCTGTGAGAAAAAGTCCAGGTGGCCTCAGTCTGTGCATCTGTGAAATGGGTATAGGATGAGATCCTTCCTCACTAGATCAGAGCTGCTCTTGTTTTTGTCATCGTTTTTATTTTATTTATTTTTTCACTTTTAAGACCCTACCATCTAAAATGGAAAAGCTCAACTGGGGTTGGCTGGGTGGAGGTTCACTGAGTTTTAACATTTCTGTTTTCCTAGTGGTATGTGTTTCCCGGCATGGTGGGAAGGGATTGGGCCTGGGAGCCAAAATGCTGGGATTGGTTCCCAGCTCCTGCCTGCCACAGCACATAACCTTCGCCGCTCTGTGCCTCAGGTTCCTCATCGGTAAAATGTGGGCAATCACATCTCGTGCATTTTGGGCCCGCTATGAGGATCAGCGATGTTGAGCACCTGGCACCGAGAATGCGGCCTGGCCTCACCACTGCCTTCACCTGTGCCCTCTCTCTGCAGGTGGTACTCGGGCAGGATTTCCCGGCAGCTGGCCGAAGAGATTCTGCTGAAGCGCAACTACCTGGGCGCCTTCCTCATCAGGGAGAGCGAGAGCTCCCCAGGCGAGTTCTCCATCTCGGTGAAGTGAGTTGTGACCCTCGGCAGGGGCAGGGCGGCAGGCAGCAGGCAGCATCTGGGCTGTGTCCGAGCGCCAACAGCCTCAGGCCGAGGCGGCAGTGACCACGGCGACCGGCGGGGTAGGGAAGGACCACCCCCCGGGTGTGGCCGGGAGCAGTAAGGATGTGCTTGGAAAGCAGTCTTGGGCTGACTGCAAGGCCTCAAGTGCCAGGCTGGGGGGGGTGTGGACATTATTCTATGGCTAGTAAGGAACCATCAAAGGCTTTTCATCAGGGGAGGAAGAACGATGCCGTGGCTTACGTGGTGGGAGAGACTGGGGACAGGAGACATCAAGGCACTAGGGCAGGTTTTCAGGGTATACTTCTGACAGGGTCCTGCTGTTACCGGAGAGGGGACCTGGCCCTTAGCAGGTCTGCCTAAGGCTGGCGGTGGGCGGGTTCTGGGCTTCCTGCAGGAAAGATTTCACAAAACAAGCCCAGGTGATTTTTTTTTAAAATCCTCACCCAAGGATATATTTTCCATTGCTTTTCAGTGAGAGTGGAAGGGGAGGAGGGGGAA